CTCAAAAAGGGTTGCTTTTAAATCAGAGAAATGAGAATTGAGTAAGACAGGGAGGCGTCTGGCAATCATGTGGGTTATAGTACCCACGCTGAACAGTGACAACCCTAGATTTTTGGGGCTATCCATGTGAGTTTCAGATATATATATATATGTATGTATATTTATTTACAATAATGTAGATGTATTTATGTGTGAGGCTGAGGTGAGGCAATTTCTAGGTTCACCTGCCCTACAAAATATATTATAAAAGGGCTTTGTAATTGGGCATGCAGATGCAGATAGTTACAGCTCACTCCTAGTGGCCTGCCACTGCCACTGCCTCTTGCCCTCTGCCTCTGCCTCTGCTGTGTGCTGGCTGGCACATGTCCTTTTTTTTTTCTTTCTTTCAAATCTCCATTCTCCCCTTCCCCTTTTGGCCTTATCCCTCTTCCACTTTTACCACACACTCACCTTTTTCCTTCAGTATATTTCTTCACTTTCATTTGGAATTGCTTATTTTTTACACCCCATTGCTTGCCTCTCTCTCTCTCTCTCTCTACTTTACTTTACATCATTATGATTTTACTTTTAAACTTTACCTGAGGGTAATTTTAAGTGGATGAGGGCTTAGAGGCTTGTGTTTGAGGATTTAGGAAAACTCTAGGAAAGAGAGAGTGGGTTTAACATATTAAAAAGAAAAAAACTGAGTAGTTGGAGAGTTTGACTAAAGTTTTGATCTTATCACCTAGTGAGAGACACAGATACACATACAACAACACAATAATTCCCAACAATTGACCCTTTCTTTTCAATGGATAATTTTCACAGCACACGGGACAACGACAGACCAATTTGCCAAATGTACATATATCTAACACACCAAAATTGGTCCTCATCATATGTTTAGCTAAACCTGTCTCCCTCTACTTATGTTCTCACCAAATCTCTCTCTTGATGCGTAGTTCTAGCTGAGGTTGGTGACACACGTCGACAAGCGATCCGAGGTGGACTGTATATGGTGAGGGATGTTGAGCTGCCAAGTTATCTGTATATCAAATCTTGCAACGATGTGATGTTCAAACTTTAGAATAAGTTAGTCCAAGTTGGTTCCAAATCAAGCTTAATTGGAATGTAAGAGATAGCATACTTTTTTAGAGGTCCGACTCTACCTTTTATACATGGGAAGTATCGGAAATTGTTGTCTTGCCACTACAAATGTTAGCAGATTTCTCATTGGTCAAAATCTTCTTCAGGTCGAGGTTGAGCTAAGCTGGTTCAAGATACTTTGGCGTGCTTTCCTCGTGATTGAACTG